AAGTGGTCATTGTACAGGTAAAGTTTGGGCCTACCTTTGGTCCCCACTTTGCCTGGTTTGAGATTATTCAACCCCTATTGAAGGGTGTTTGGAGTACTTTTAGTCTTGTTCTATTATGTTACAAATAGTGCTATGATAATTGGCCATGTGCATAAGACTTTTTGTGATTTTACCAGTGTATCTTTGGAATAGTTCCTTAGAAGTGAGGATTAGTGAGTTAAAGAGTTAAAGGCATGTGTAATTTTGTTAGATATTGCCAGATCCCTCCCACCACCAGCATTGTATGAAAGAGCCTCTTTTTACTCCACAGCTCATTCTCAGAATGTGTTCTCAGACTTTTGTCCTAGCAGTGAGTTTGAAATTACATCTCTTTTGGGATGTTGTTCTTCTCCTTGTTTTGGAGGCTCTGACTTTTTTTAAGCTCCTATTTACTCTTTTTTATGTCGTCCAACTTTTTGAGATCAGTTTCTTCTTTGGAATGTTTGTTCTCTCTTCATTTGAAGATCATTCTCCCTAATGGAAAAGACTGAAATAAAATAGATGATTAGTGTACTTGGAGTAGTGGTTTAACACCTATAATCCCAGCACTTTGGGAGGCCAAGAAGGGAGGATTGCTTGAGCCCAGGAGTTGACACCAGCCTGGGCAACATAGCGAGACCTCGTCTCAACAAAAAAAATCAAAAGACTAGCCAGGCATGGTGGCGTGCTGGGTAGTTCTAGCTATTCAGACCTCTAAGGCAAGAGAATCACCTGAGCCCAAGAGGTTGAGGCTGCAGTGGTCTGTAATCATGCCATTGTGCTCCAGCCCAGGCAATAGTGAGACCCCTGACTCAGAAAAACAAAACAAAACAACAACAAAATCCAGGCGATTAGTTCAACCTTCTCATCATCATATTTGTTGAGTGAATGGATACATCTGTCCACTCACTGACTGTTGTGTGTCTGCCAAGCCTTGGGTTGTGGTCACCATATGGCTGTAGTAGTTCGGAGAGCACATCTGCATTCAGTATAGGAAGAAGAGGGCAGGGTTGTACTAGCCACTTCAGCCATCTTCTGAAAGAAGAGAAAAAGCTATAGAAAAGCCACTCGCCTTTTGTGGGCAGGATATTTATACCTTTAATTTTTAGTTGTTTTTAGTGAGAAGTTTGAACATAGTCCTTTGTGTTGCTAGAAATGCAAGTCTCCTATTCATTTTTATTTTTCGAGTTAGGGCCTCACTGTCACCCACACTGGAGTGCAGTGGCAGGATTACGGCTTATTACAGCTTCAACCTCCTGGGCTCAGGCAATCCTTCCTCCTCAGCTTCTGAGTAGCTGGGACTATAGGTATGTGCCACCGCATCTAGCTACTTTTTAAAATTTTTTGAAGAGATGAGGTCTCACTATATTGCCTAGGCTGGTCTCAAACTCCTGGGTTCAAACTCCTGCCCTGACCTCCCAAAGTGTTGGGGTTACAGGCGTGAGCCACTGCGCCCAGCAGTCTCTGATTTTTATTTCACTTGGAAAACTTTGTACATTAACTTTTACAAAGGTGAAAATTAAAAACAGATGTATGTATAAATAAATAGATTGTCAAAAACACTCCCTCTAGTCCCACTTTTCAGAGATGACTATTGTCTGCAGTTCAGTGCATATTCTTCTATGTATGTATTTGATACTTAAACTTGATTTTAAACTACTACTGTCACCCTTGTTTGTTGTCACTATGGGGCTGTACATATATATACTATTCTACAGCTACATTTTTTTTTCACTTTTTTTTTTTTTTGAGTTGTGGTCTCACTCTGTTCCCCAGGCTGGAGTTCAGTGGCATGATCACAGTTTACTATAGCCTCCACCTCCTGGGCTCAGGCAATCCTTCTGCCTCAGCCTCCCGAGTAGCTTGGACTACAAGTGTGTGCCACCATGCTCAGCTAATTTTTAAATTTTTTTGTAGAGACAAGGTCTTGCTATGTTGCCCAGGCTGGTCTTGAATTCCTGGTTCAAGCAATCGTCCTGCCTTGGCCTCCCAGAGTCCTGAAATTACATACATGGGCCACCGTACCCAGCCCAGTTTTTTTCACTTAGTTGTCTGTTCTAGACATTTCCCCCATGTCATGTGCATACAAATGTGCCTCATTCTTTTCTAGCTGGTGCATCATATTCTCGCAGATCTGTTATCTACCTTTTCTCTGTGCACAGGTGGCTGGCGTCTGTCAATTGCATCATCTGGGCTTCCTTGCCCTCTGGGCTTCCTTACCCTCTGGCTTCCAGTTGGGATCAGCTGGTAAAAGTCACTGTCAGGAGATCAGAGGTTTTATCTGCCCTCCTGCTGCTTGCCATGGGTCTACAGCTGTGCTCCTCTGTTACCACTGCTCGCGTGGGATGGCCTCTCTTTTCCAGCCAGATCTTGCTGGGCTCAAGGAACACCTTTTTCTTCTCTTGCTCTTTCAGGCTGAAGGGTAGAAATAACTTCTATTGTTAGTCCCTGCATGCTTCACCATCCCTTGTTGACTCCTTTGAACCCATTTAAAAAATTCTGCTATCAAACTTCCTTTGTGTGTGCCATCTGTTGCCTGCCAAGATCCCAAGACCCCAACATTGGAGACCTACCATAGTTTGTCAGGTTCCCCATTACTGGGCATTTGAACTGTTTCTAGCATTTTATTCTTACAATCTGTGTTGCTAAAGAACATTCATGCACATGTACTTGTTGGAGAAAAAGTCATAGGAATAGAAATGCTGGGCTGCAGTGTATGAATGTTATAAATTTCAATAGATTCTTCTAAATTACTTCAAAAGGAGTCTACCAACTTATATTTCTATAATGTGTTTGATTTTTTAATATTGAAAAAACTTTGGCGGTAACTCTTGTGACTTACAAATACATGTAATTCAGAAGTATTTAAAGGGAAAAGTAAAGTCCTTCCAATCCATTCACTTATTGTCACAACCTCCTCTCTGGAGGCAACCATGCCAACAGCCATACTGCCTTCCCTTTTTTATATTTATATGCTTAGCATAGAGTAAATTGAGCACATTTATATATGTTTATAAAGTAAACTCATTCATATGTGTGTGTATGTATTGCTCTATTTCTGTTTCTTCTGAGAGCTGATTTCTAGCCTCTATGCTGTTCCATTGATCTTTGTTTTATTTCCTATGCTGATATCTGTCATCGTAATAATTGTGGCTTTGAGTTGGTTTGATACATGGTAAGGCAAATTCTCATTACTTTCATTCTAAGAAATTTCTTGGCTCTTCTTGGGCATGAACTCTTCAGTTTATCTTTAGATCCAAGTTAAACAAATTTGTGGATTTTGGCTGGAATTAAACTGAATTTATTGAGAACTCACATTTCAGGAGGATTGACATATTTCCAATATTGAATCTTTTCACCTTAGATCCTGTATATCTCTTTATTTACTCAGATCTTTTATGTCCTTTGGTGAAAGTCTTGCCCATTTCTTGCTGTTTATAATTAGGTATTTTATAGATTTTGTTGACATCACGATTAGAATTTTTTAACTTATATTTCTAATCATCTATTGCTGGTATAGTTTTTAAGAAGTTGTTTTTTATAAATTAATATTATAATTACCTACTTCACTGAACTTCCTATTAGCACTAATGATTTTTCAGTTGATTCTCTTGGCTTTTCTAGGTGGACAATTATATAATCTACAAATTATAATATTTTATCACTTCATTATTAATACTTATACATAATTTCTTCCTCATTTTGTGGCTAGGATATCTGATTGAGGTTGTGGGGGTCTGATCCAGGGAAATATCCTTGGCTGATGTTACATTTTACATTTAAGGTGAGTGTCCATGGATGTACAGCACGTGCAGTAGCAGAGTGGGTGAATTCCAGACAGGCCTTGAGGAGAGAAACAAGGCAACGTTCAATTAATAGAAAGAACAATGAGAGTGGAGTACAGGGCACAAATTAGGTTGGGAGAGCAGAAGATGGACTGGATAGTAAATCAGGGCTCAGTCAGAAGCTGCCAGGCTTTAAAGAGTAATTAGTTTATTCCAAGAAATTGAGAATTTAATGAATGATGAGTTAGGCTGAATGACCCCCTAAATATGTCCACACCCTACTCCTTGGAACCTATTGGTTTTTAATCTGACATGGCACAAGGGATTTTGGAGATGTAATTAAGCTTATGGGCCTTAAAATAGGGGGGTTTATTCTGGGTTATTCAAGTGGGCCCAATATAATCACATGAGCCTGGGAAAGCAGAGAAGTTTCTTCATCTGGAAGCAGAAGGAAGGTGTGATAGAAGGGGAAGTTGGAGAGATTCAAAGAGTGGGAGAAGCTGACAGGGACCACATGAAAAACCTGAAAAGGACTACAGGAGCTCAGGCTGACAACTGATAGCCAGCCAGGAAATGGGGCCTTGGTCCTGCAGGTGCAGGAGCTGGATTCAGTCAACAGCCTGAGTGAGCTTAGAAGTGGATTCTTCCTCAGGGCCTCCAGAAGGGACACAACTTGCTACACCTTGATTTTGGCCTTGTGATTCTCTAGGCAGAGGACTCAGCTCCGCCACACTGTACTCAGATTTTGGCCTAAAGGACTCTGAGATAATAAACTTGTATTGTTCTAATCTGCTAAGTTTATGGTACTTCGCTACAGCAGCAGTAGAAAACTAATATAAAGGAAGCAGGGAAGTATCATTACCAAATTCTGTTATTAGAAGGCTTCTTGTGCTTTGTGGAGAATGTGAATTTGAAGGCAGGGAAGCTTGTTTGTAGGACTAGTGGCATTGAGCAGAGTACTTGAGGGCAGAGGATACAATTGGAGATGTATCTGGGAGGTTAGAATTGCCAGCACCAGTCACCAACTGGATGTTGGGGGTTGGGGTGGGGGCAGCAAGGGCGACAGCTGTTTTCTGTGTCTTCTTGAGATGAGGATGAGCAGGTTGGAAGATGCCATGTTATGAAAGTGGTAACTCTAGGTTGTTCTTCATTTAGAAATTCCCTCTAAAGACAACTTATTTTCAGATAGAGTGTATCAATAAGATGAGTGCTTTCTCTTTTAAGAACTAAACTTTTTGTTTTTTTAGGTCATGTAGGAAGTCGTAAATCATGTGAAGATGGGACTCTTGGTATTTGTGCGCAATCTGCTGCTAGCCCTCTGCCTCTTTCTGGTACTGGGATTTTTGTATTATTCTGCGTGGAAGCTACACTTACTCCAGTGGGAGGACTCCAGTAAGTATGGTCACTCCATCCCCACCCAGAAAAAGCCTGTTGCAGGTCAGCTATTGGTTTTCATGTGGCTGCAGTGCTCTCATATTCTGCAGAGTTGGGCAATGAGGGTTAAACTGAAAATTTCTGGGACTTACACTTAGAAATTGCCTTCCATTTTAATGGTGTAGACTGAGAACTTGGATTTTTTTTTTAAAAACTGCATGCCATGGCAAATCTCAGTTCCTTTTATGAACCCAGTGAGAATGTACTATTCTTCAATATAAACCCAAACTGTACCCATACTTCTAGTTATCAAATGCTTTTGTTCTTTTTGATTACTCCCGTGTGCTGCCACTCTCTTTTGCCATTTATTGCCTTAGGGTTTGGTGTTGAAGTTGGTTTTCTTCTGCCCTTAGAACATTCTTTTCCTTTTCCTTGAATTTTCAATGTAATATTGTCTTTGTTTTGTTTTCCCTAAAGAAACTTTGTCCACTTAATCTTTTTACCCTTGCTGATGTAAAACTTGCACCTGTTTAGAGTAATGACTTCTTTTCCCGCCCCAGTCACTCCTCATCCCTTTCTTCCATTGTGCATTTGGTCTCCTGTGTTACCAGTGTCTTCTACCCCTCTGACTTGGCTTCTATTCACCCATGTCACCTGTGTTTTGGTTAGAGGCTTGCAGTTGAAGGGCATATATTGATCAGCAACAGCCTTTGCACATTCTTTTCTTGACTGTAGCTTAAAGTATCACACAGTAACCAAAAGTCAGTTTCTTTTTGGTTATTTTGTCTGGTGGTTATCTGAGCTTGGTGCAGGAAATAATATGAAATCAGAACAGGGTGGCTTGTTCTGATTCCCAGTGACATGTCATCTCTAAAATAGTTTTATTTTTACCAACATCTACTGAATACCAGTGTAGAACTCACTTGAGAGTAGAGTCAGTCTCTAGAAATGATGTTAAAATCAGTTGGACAAGCCGGGCTCGGTGGCTCAGCCTGTAATCCCGTGCCTTTGGGAGGCTGAGGTGAGTGGATTGCCTGAGCCCGCGGGTTCGAGACCCGCCTGGGCAGCAAGACCTCATCTCTACAATAAATCAAAAAAAATCAGCCGGGCGTGGTAGTGCATGCCTGTAATTCCGCCTACTCGGAAGGCTGAGGCGGAAGGATCGCCGGAGTCCAGCAGGTCGAGGCTGTGGTGGCCGGGAGCGGCCTCTGCACTCCAGTCTGGGTGACAGAGTGAGATTCCAACTCAAAAAAAAAAAAAAATCAGTTGGACAAAGCAGCTGGTAATTGGCCTGCTGTTGTACTGAGACCCTAACTTGGGAACTGTTACAATGAAGTAGTTCATTTGTTTTTCACATGCCCCAAACTACCGAGGCAGTTTCAAACCAGTTTTTATAATATGGTGTTATACCTTTAATGTATTGTTTCCTATAGAACGTTTAAGTGCCTCTTAAGTACTTAGCTTATAATTATCACTAATACTTTGTGTTTCAAGAGTTTATTCAAGTTTCTCTGCACTGACTTATTTTTTAAATCAAGGAGACCACCCACGATAAGGAGTGCTTATATCAGTGCAGGGCTGAATCCTGTAGTTAGAGGCAATGTCTGTATTCATAATGGTGGATCCATCTGGATTGATAATATAGATGGAAATGTGTGCAAGGAATGAGGGTCTCCTTTTCTGTTTAGAGCTGCTGACCTGTAGAAAAACATAACCAAGGATCAGATAATATTTTCTGAAGTAGGGAAGGGAATTAACTTTATGGAAGACATATTGTGTGTCAAGTATTAGACTAGACAGTTTACAAATTTTATTTATTTTAATTCTTACAACATTTTGTGAAGATGCCATTATTATCCCCATTTTTCAGTTGAGCACACTGAAGCACTTGGTTTAATTAATTTACCAAGATTACACTGCTAGTTACTGGAACGAGAATTGAATTCTTATTTCAACCTGGTTTTAAAAGTACTGTGGACTTATCATACATATAGTATAATAAAAATGTATATAAAATACAAAAAAGCATAAATATTTTTAATATATATTTTAATATTTTAAAATTAGTGAACAAATCAACACAGTCTTTGGAATCAGAAAGAGTTGGGTGTGATTTCCTCTCCATCTCCAAAATGGGAATAAAACACTTATTTCTCTTTGCTCTGATGCTTTATTCAGGTCAGTGCCTTAAATAAGAGTTGGGTAGTTGCCTCTTTTCAGTAGACCTCATTTCAATGGTCTATTTCATGGATGCCTTGAATATTTTAATTTACTAATTTAATATTTCTGGCCATTTTCATGGCTCATGCCTATAATTCCAGCACTTTGGGAGGCTGAGGTGGGTGGATTGCTCGACTAGGAGTTCAAGATTAGCCTGGGAAACATAGTAAAACCTCATTTCTGCAAATAAATAAATAAAAATTTAAAAATCAGCTGGTCATGGTGGTAGCATGTGTCTGCAGTCCCAGCTACTCGGGAGACTGAGTTGGAAGGATCACCTGAGCCCAGGAAGTCGAGACTGCCGTGAGCTGTGATTGTTGTGATCATGCCACTGTACTCCAGCCTGGGTGACAGTGTAAGACCTCAACTAAAAAAATTGTTTTAAAATGTATTTCTAATTAATAAAATAGATCTTTTGTAGGATTAATTTTCTGTGTTGTGGGAGCTTTAAAAATTCATGCTACTGCATTTGTCAATTTTAGCAACTCCCTTTGTGTTCTTTCTCATACTTACAAATAATCATAACCAGAGAAATGATGAAATACGCATTATTGATCTGACTGCTATAGAGAATATTATCTGGCAAATAAGTTGGAAGTTGGATCTGATAGCAGAAAGACAGACTTAATTGAGGTTAATAGATGTAGGGTGTTATATTAACTCTTAGTTTCCGATCTTTTTTTCTTAGATTAGAAAATATAGTTTACGGTAATCCCAGTGCTTTGGGAGGCCTAGGTGAGTGGATTGCCTGAGCCCGCGGGTTCGAGACCTGCCTGAGCAACTTGGCGAGACCTCATCTCTACAATAAATCAAAAATTAGCCAGGCCCACGTGGTAGCACGTGCCTGTAGTTCCAGCTACTTGGAAGGCTGAGGTGGAAGGATTGCCAGAGCCCAGCAGGTCGAGGTTGCAGTGACCGGGAGCGGCCACTGCTCCCCAGTCTGGGTGACAGAGTGAGACTCCAACTCAAAAAAAAAAAAAAAAGAAAATGTAGTTTACTTAAAAGGTACATTAGAGAGTAGAAAGAAAGAGGAGATTCACCTTCCCAAGGCAGGGGAGGGGGCCAAAGCTAGGAAGCATGGTGACAGCCATAGCTCAAAGAGCACATTGGCCACACCGGAGTCTAGTAAGGCAATGGCAGTTTCCCATCTTAAAAATAAAATGGAGACTGGCATTTCTGACTTGTGGCCTAGGGAGGCACTCTGCTGCTCATGATAATAGAGTAACTGGTATCAGAACTAGCCCTCCCTCTATAACGAGGTATAAAACTTGACAAAATAAAACAGCTGGGTCAGACAGATGACAGTAGGCAGCATATAATTTCATTCCCTAAGAGGGGGAACATTCTTGAGGTAAACCCCACAGTTGCCCAGTTCTCTCTCTGAGGACAGTTTCCCAATCCTGTTCAGAGTGGAGTCTACACAGGCTGAAGAGGCAAAGATCAGAGTTCAGGCAGCTGAAGCAGTTGGAATCTGTGGAATGGGCTATCGCAAAGTAGGAAATTGTTCAGAGAGAGGGTTTCGGAAGTCCAGGAGGGAATTCCTGTGAGTCTGAAGCTAAGGACTGGCCTATTTATGCACAGGGTGCAGGCCCCTGAGGCTTACCACATACCACCTGCTACAGTTCAAGAGTGGAAAAGGGATACTAGAGGTCAAGTAGTTTTGGGGAGAAAACAATGCCAGGAACATTGAAGTTCCTTCCCTGCCAGAGTCGAAAGACCTCATGAACACCTCTAGCATCCAGCTGAGATACCAGAAAGATCATGCCTTAGGAATAAAGATCTTATGCAAGAATAAGGTCTGCTCTTGACCTGCCCTAAACAAGTCCTAAAGCCAACCCTAAAGCAAGACAGATTTTGACGTTTGGATCCCATCTAGTTAGAGAAGTTAAAAATGCCAGCTAGTGTGGTAGTGTGCGCCTGTAGTCACAGCTATTTGGGAGACTGAGGGGGAGGATCACTTGAGCCTTGGAGTTGGAGCCTACAATATGCTATGATCACATCACTGCACTCCAGTCTGGGTATTAGAGCTAGACCTCATCTCTAAAACAAAAACAAACAAACAAAAACTACCATAAGCTTTTCTTAAGTCCAAAGTAATGATGCATAAAATCAAGATTTTCCAAGTTTAGAGTGATCAGGTGTAATTGAACAAAAAATACAAATCAGTACTCTTCAGAGAACGATAAATGTTCATAGTTTTTTGTGGTTTTTTTTGTTTGTTTGTTTGTTTTTAGTTGGAGTTTCATTCTGTCACCCAGGCTGGAGTGCAGTGGCATGCTCCTGGCCACCGCAGCCTTGACCTGCTGGGCTTATCCTTCCACCTCAGCCTCCAAGTAGCTGGAACTACAGGCATGCACCATCACACCTGGCTAGTTTTTTGATATATTATAGAGATAAGGTCTTGCCAAGTTGCTCAGGCTGGTCTCGAACTCGTGGGCTCAGGCAATCCTGTCACCTTGGCCTCACAAAGTGGGAGTGCTGGGATTATCGGCTTGAGCCACCGAGCCATCGGCGTGAGCCACCGTGCCCACCGTGTTCATAGTTTTTTACATGTAATATCCACAGTGCCCAATGTTCAAAAAAATTTGCTAAGACATACAAAGAAATAAAAAAATTGGTATGTATGAAGTCAGGCTTTAAAATGTTAAAAATTTTAAAAGAACAGAAAAATATCAATAATCAAGAAAAAATGTGCCTATAGATAAGATGGCCCAGTATTTAGCAAAGTAGCTACTATGAATACATTTAAAGAATTAAAGGACAATGCCGTGATCAATAAGTAGCCTCAGCAGAGAAATAGAATCTATCAAAAATAACCAAATGCAAATTCTAGAACTGAAAAG